TTCCTATTTTTTGGTGATATGGCATGTGGCTATATGGTTGGAAGATATTGGCTAAATATTAACTTGATATATCTTTGAAAGATTTTGTAGAAAGATTGAGTAGACTTGTGTTATTTTATGGTATGTACAATATTTTGATTAGATTTAATTTATTTAATTTCTATTGATGAGAAAATGGTTTAGGACAGGGAGATAATAGTTCATGCACCTTCCATAATGTTGATGACTCATCTATGGAATGGATGACTCAAATCTCTCTTCCCACAAGTCACCATTGATCGACGGTCTATGTTCAATCTCGCAAGAAGAGGCAAGCCAAAGAAAACCCTAAGAAACCCCAATCTTACTGAAAGCCTATAAAAAAGGATTGTCTCTACCCAAAAATCTCTACACCTTATCTTTCTATCTCTCTTAAGAAAGTTTATCTTTCTCATGTTTAATCTCTCTCCCATATTGTGAAAGAACCTAAGGGTTTAGGTTATGGAGGTCTTCTCTCTTATCTTTCAAATATGAATTTATGGCTAAGGGTTTTAAGGTTTAGCAAAAAACGAATTCATCTCTCTCAAACTAGGTTGGTAAGAGAATTCACCTAGGGTTTGAGTTTGTGATCAAAGGAGTTCATGTTCAATTGGTGTGGCTTGGCTGAAATTTGCTTTTTCGGTTCGAGATTGAATCTAGACCATTGATCTCGAGCTATCGGATGGTGGTGACTCGGTGTGGGGTGTAATAAGCCCAGTTGGGATAATCTCCGGCGCTCTTCCTTTTGTTTCTTGCAATCTTATCTTTTATTCTCAAACATAGTGCATAGTTGTTTCGATGACATCAAGTTGTTAAGATCTTGGTTTTATTGTTATGCTGATTTTATTTTGAAATTTATCTTATTATAATAAAGACCACATGTAAGTGATCTTTTGCCAAAAGAAAGGGGTGAAAGAAAAAAAATAATAATGTATTTTCCAATAAGAGATCACATAGGTCTTTCTTTCAATAGCAACTACATTCTCTAAGGAAACATAAGACAAGAAATCAAGATTGCAGTTCATCTTAAACAAGATTTACACATCATATTACACAAACTACCAAGGCATTAAATTTAACAACGAACCAAAACAATCAAGAAATACTTTCATACATTGACCTCAAAAAACAATGCAATCGTTTGTTTTTTTTTTTTTTTGTTGACAAAGGTTACTAACTTTATTGAGATCAAAGATTTACAATGTAAGAAGTAGCAAAAATAATTATACAGATGTATGGTCAATAAAAAGCTCCGGCAAAGCAAACCCGGTTTAGTTAATAGATCCGCGCTCCTTTTCGCCTCTCTAAAGACATGGTTGAAGTAGACATCCAACGACGCACAAAGATCAACATCTTCCAAAGCGTCCTCAATTTCTATGGAACAGTATGCACTCTAGAGCACAATTATATTAAATTATGAGAGTCTCTTTCAACTAGAATGGTGGAACATAATCCCCTATAGAATAACATATATCTCACCCTCATTAGCAGTAACTATACTTCATGGACCAGAAAACTTAAGATTGTCCTTGGGGTTTCTAATTAACCCTCCAACTCCTGTTTTTTATGATATTCACCTTCAACGCCTACCCATAAAAAATCCTTCTATTTCTTTCCCACGAAATCTCCTAAAGAATAACTACAATTTTCAATGGAATCTTTCTTTTTTGGCAGCCATGGAAGATCAATATGGGCCACAATGTTCGTATGGCTTGCTAGCATTGAAGTATAGATATACTTTAATGTTCGTATGGCATTGAAGTATAGCTATTCATTGTAAAGGAACAATGTAGGAACAAATGATTTTCATCTTCTTTATCATGCTTGCATAACATGTAAATATTAACCGGTACTTTATCCTTTTTTTAAGGTTTAAAAATAGCAAAAAGTAGGACTAAAAGGATATAGTTGGATGCATTGAGAAAAAATACGAAAGCTTATAAAAAAATACGATTTTTAATGAAGTAGAATATCATGTTAGTGTACCGGACTTCAAATAGTTGAATTATGACGATGATGAAGAGGACTCTACGCCTTTTCTTCTTTTACCTCATGGAATGATGCATGTTGTCTTTTTTTTTTTTTGTATATTACACAGGTTGTATAATATAATCACCTCGGTATACATACATGAGATTCGTCCCGGGTACAATACAGAAAAAATACACTTTCTTTTTCAGATGGTATTAGAGTCTTCAACCCATAGGCGTCTGAGTATGAATAGAGAACTGTAAAACCGCTATCTTTTAAAAACCACCGCAAAATAGTTATTGAAACCGTATTTTAGAAAACCACAAAATCAAAACCGTCCTTCACACCAAAACCACCGCAAAACCACCGACTCTTCTATAAACCGCCCCAAAAAAAAATAAAATCGAAACAACACCCCAAAAATCGGCAATAGAAATACCACATTGCGAAACTGCCAGATACTACCCACCAAAACCATCATAAAAAACTAGAGTCGGATGCAGATCTGATTTCGACACATTTTCTTACTGATCTAGTATTCTTCTCTTTGGGCATTCTCTCTGATTATCCTATGATTTGCTGAAGTTCCCTTCAAATCTGAAGCGATCTCCACCGTCAACATAGATGGGCGGATCTGTCCTGACATCTTTTTCTTCTGCTCTCTCTATTTCGGCAGCCTCTCTCGCGCTCTTGCTCTGTGTGAAGCAGTCTCTCTCTCTCTCTCTCTCTCAATTTTTCTTATTTTGCTCCCTCTCTCCTCCCGTGGGTCTCCATTTTTTTAAATGTTTTGAAGTATTTAAGGGAGGCGAGGCACTTGCAAGGCTTTGCAATATTTGGTGGTTAATATAGCTGATTTGTAAACCTTTAAGAGTTGGGACTTGGGACAGAACATAAGAAAATTTTTTCTCAATTTTTCTTATTTTGGGTGGTGAGGATGCTTTCGTGATCATTTTGCCATGATTCCTCGAACTCAAACACCACGCGATTCCTTCTCGGTCAATCTTACAATGGAATAACTTCAATGGTTGCTTTTAAATTGAACTCAAGCGTCTTTTTATTTTTTGGTAAATTGAATGTTTTTGGCGTTTATCGTGATCTTTCTATGGATCTGAATTTGGTTTCTGTTGGTTAAATTATTCTTTTCAATTGTAATGTTGTTTTCATTCCCTTTATATGTCTTATGTGGGATTGGCAATTAAAAAATCTATCTGAAACTGGGCTTTACATCGTTACGAGCACACAAAACTCCCTTAAACAAATTTGCTGACAAAACACGATTTTGAAAAAGCAAAATTTGGGTATACAAGGATCCAGACGAACCATAACACCATGGCTAGGGTGCCTCATTGAGATTGTTTGCCGTCAACAGTAACCTTCTTTTTTAAAAAAAATTGACGGCTGAGATGCTACGTGTTCTTGCCGAGAGGGAGTGACATAGGGGTATGACTGAAAGCAAGTTTGGCAAAGGTAAGAAGCATGTGTTAGTTGTAAGAAATTTAGTAACCAAGACATTTGATATGTATAAAAATCACTTGATTCGGATCAGAATTAGTAGATGATCGTCTTAAATCTGGTAGAAAATTGGGACTTGATCCGATATAGACGGAATCGCCGGGCTCTATAAGAGAACTAAGTGATTCAAATAAAAAATTTATGGATTCGGGTTAGCAATTTCATCCGTATCATTTTTTCAAAAGTAAAAGCAAAATTTTTTTTTAAAGATTTATTATGTTTTTCTAATATATTTTTATGTAACATCACCCTTAAGAGGTGATCCAAGTTGAAATTAGCAAATCCAAATTTGTTAAGCCAGGTAACGATTCGGACCTTGATCCATTTTTTCAAACAATAAAGTGTGCACTAGTCCTTTTAAGGTGTGGGATGGCAACAGCACAATCAAACCCCAATTAACTGGTTGATAAGAATGTGAAAAACAAAAGAACAACGACCATTAATGCCAACTAAACCTCTTTAGCATTGGAAAAAGTTTATAGGGCCTTAAATATTTAACATTGAAAAACAAAAGAACAATGACTATTAATGCCAACTTAACTAGTCGATTCAGAATATATCTTAAGCTGGAAATTTTATAATTAAAGATGAAAATTTTTTTTACAGGCCATCACAAAGATTTCTGATATTGAAACAATATATTTCGACATTATTTGAAGGTGCGTCTTACTTCGATTGTTTACAGCCTTATACAAACCACACCTTCTAACATTTGCGCAAACAAACGCTAAGATTTTTGTGGTTCAACATTAATGTAAACAGGATAGAACATATTAATAATTTAAAGATTGTATACAAAGAGACCATTTATTTTTTGTATATGGAGGTCACAATTATTCACACTCATTAGATATCAAATTCGATTGTTTGGGGTGAGTCACGAAGTCCCATAATTTTTTATTTTGGAACTTGTGTCTATTCAATGATACTCTTACTATCACCTACTTTGAAATTTGAAGGACAAAAATGATTGTGGTCTCTATGTACAAAAACTAAATGATTTCTTTGAGACAATCTCATCAGTTTAACAACTACAATTCCACAAGACGACTTATATGCATCAATTACTTTTCCAAACAAGTTCTCAAAATATAAAGGGATTATCTATAAAGAGACCATTTACTTTTTGTACAAAGAGGTTACAACTATTCCACTCATTAGATATTAAATTGGATGGTTTGGGGTGAGTCATGAAGTCTAATTTTTTTTCTATTTAGAATTTTGTGTCTAACCAATGACATTCTTACAACTACCCATTTTGAAATCAAAGAGACAAGAATGATTGTGACCTTTTGTATAAAAAATAAATGATAATTTTATAGATAATCCTAAATATAAATCCATATTATATAAGCGCTCATAACTAACCTGAACCCTACTTTAGAAGGCATTGTCCCTGCTTTCCACAGACGGGGAAACTTGATCCATGTATTAGGGCCAGGGAGCGTTATGAACAGTCTGTTAACGTCAGTAGCACAATGGCCCGACGTCAATATAAGCTACATATTGTATTTTACTAGTATTTCAAAATCCCGACCGTCCACTAGTCCACCCCATGTGGTCAGATCAGCAGTTTGGTGATCACGATGGGTCTGAATTGCTGTTTTAGAAAAATATTTAAAAATAAAAATTATAAAAAATTAAAACAAGGATTTCATGGAAATTTAGGCAGCTCATAAGAAAACATCAGGTAAACTTCACTAAAAAAAAATATGAATGGTGTTGTAGAGGTGGGACCATGCCAGTACCAACGCCTTCCCCGAAACCAGAAACCAATTCGGTCTCAGCCCGTTCCCTATTTAGATCAAGAATCGCCAAGTTTACAATGCCGGGTTTTACAAAATTAAAAAGAGAGAGAGAACGAGGGAAAGAGAGAGAGGCCTGTATCTGTGTTAAAGTGACTACTCAGAACATTTTATTCATCTCATTACCAAACAAAAACCAAGAAAATAACAAAATTAATGTACTTAGTATATAGTAGTAAATTGGTGACAAACATGTTTGTAATTTGTGAGTGGAAAGTAAAAGCCCAGGTAAGAAAAGATCCCGGGCTTAATTGGTAGAGCTTGAGGATTCCTTATGTCTTAGGCTCAATTCCTACAGCTCCTAAGTGACCCTCACCCACAAAAAAAAGAAAAAGAAAAAAATTAAATAAATGTGTCTACCCTCATCTATATGGGGGAGAGAGAGAGGGCGATAAGTTGAGCTGCCCCGTCTCATCTCTCTAATGGTCACAAATGCAGCCACTGCGTTCCTGAATATGGTCTCCTCCCATGCTTCATTTCCTCCCCCTTCAGCTGGGAATAAAGCCTGCATAGTTTCCTCACATTCTTTGACAAGTCTAGAGAGAAGATCAGTCATTAAAAATGGCTGCCCCAATACTTTCTCAGTGAAAGGGAGCCTAAGAAACCGGCCCGTTTTCTTATCATACTTCTTCAAGATCTTGGCAAGGCCTGCAATTAAAAAACCCAATGAAAAATTTTAAAAAATTGAGGCTTGGGTTCTTCCAAACTCTGTTTTTCTCTCTTTAGATGTTCAATGCCAATGTAAATATGTAAATGAAACTACATTATGGAACTCGGCTCAAGCCTTGATCTTCGGCCGCAGCCTGAGCTGAGTCACTTGGAGATGTCTGAGTGGGTGCTCAACCAACACAAATTACATATAATTCGGCCATTTAATATAATTTTTGTAATTACATATAATTTGGCCATTTAATATAAATTTTGTAATTTAATTAAAACCTGCGTGTTGGCTCCGCAAGGGGCAGAGTCTGAGTAACTTGGCGAAGTCCGACTCGGGAGAGTTTATGAAACTTGAATTGAAGGGATCTGTGAATTTCCTCTGCTAAATAACAGAGTGATATGAGTTGTTTTCCTAGTGAGATTCAATGTCGTTGTAAATTTTTAATTTTTTGGGGTGATTTAAAAGTCAATGTAAATGATGAGAGGGTGCATTTTCTCTTTCTAGAGGATGATTAACCTGTGTAATTGACGTTGCTATAGTTTTCCAAGAGCACCATCTCTCTATGGAAATTGGCCATGTCATTCCTGATCTTTGCCATTTCTTCTTCGTACTCTGTTTCAGAAGGCCTCACCCCATTTGCCCCAAATGTGGCTATGGTGCTTTGAATTCGGTCCTTCAATTCCTGAAACAGGAGAGAAAGGAAAATATCAGTGTTCAAAAAAATCGACTCCGCCCGAGTCCAGCTCTTTTTGTTAAAATGGAAATGAGGATAAAATTAGATATATATTGCATGACCGCCACAATCCATCATTTAACAACCAATAAAAAAGGGAAAAGGTTTATATAGAGCGAGGCTCTAAATAATAAAATTTGAGCCTACCTCAATAATTTCACTGGAAGAGGTTCTTTGGATGCTCAAATATTTTCAAATTGATCATCTCGACATCAAGATGCACGGACATGAGAAAAAAAATGAATTTTAAGTTTTCGTAAATAGTGTATTTTGTAACGCATTATTGGACCGTCAAATTTTTAGATTTTCAAGTTTTCATGGATCTGTCCGTTTATACTATTTTTTAAGCTTAAAGCTTTATAAATAAATGTGAAAATATATTTTAAAGCTATAACAAGGATTTTCATTATTGAAACCACATTTCCCGATACTACTTGAAGGTAGGCTCAAATCAATCATTGAGACGATTTTGAAAGTTGTTAAAAAGAGTCGAACATCATGGGATTCAAAACCCAGGCAGGGTCGAACTATAAGTGTGAGTATTAACTAAAGAAACTTTAACACATCTAATTAAAATTTGAAGTATTATTGTAATTAAACTAAAAAATTTGTTGTACCACCTACTTGGCCAAAACTCGTCTTGCCCATAGGGCGAGTCTGAGTTGCTACATCCATAAGGCGAGTTCAAGTTGCCTTGTCCGAGTTTCAGAATGCTGGAAAAAAACAATTTAACAACTATTGAAAGATAAGAACGCAATTACTAAAGTAAAGCACACCTTCAAATAGTGTCTAGAAATGTCATTTCAATACTGAAAATTTTTGTGATAGCCTTAAAAGATATTTTTATCTTTAATTATAAAATTTAAACCATAAAAAATAGTGTAGATCAAGCAGATCTATGAAAACTAGTAAATCTTGAAAATTGATGGTCCAAAAATGCGTTACAAGATGCATTATTTCCAAAACATGACATCCACTTTTTTTTCTCATGTCCATGCATCTTGAGGTTGAGATTATCAATTTGATGATATTTGAGTATCAAAACAACCTCTTTTAGTGAGATTTTTGACGTGGGCTCTAATTTGATTGTAGTGTTAAAAAATCGACTCAGCCAAGGTACTCGGGACTTGGCTGAGACGATTTACTCGGGCGAGTCTGATTAACTCCCTTGAGTCCAGCTCATTTTTTTAAAAAAGAAATAAAAAAATAAAATGATTATATATATTATAACTACCTCTTTTACCAGCAAAGTCAGAGTGACCCGATTACCAGCAAAGCCAGAGTGACCCGATTAGTGCACCTTACGCCTCTTTATAAGAGGTTTCGGGCTCGATTCTAAAATAATGTTTTATTTTAAAACAAAGGGTGACCGCGCCTGTAAAAAGCCCTCTTTGTAAGAGGTTTCAGCTCGATTCTTTATAAGAGGTTTCGAGCTCGATTCTCGACGGGCTTGAGCAAGCATCGAACACTAAAATGATTTTTTTAAAAAACCAAAGGGTGACAGTTATATAAAAAGACCTATTTATAAGAGGTTTTGGGCCTGATTCTCAGCGGGTTTGAGCAAGAGCTGAACACTAAAATGGTGTTTTTTAAAAAACAAACGGCTACCGGCGGGATTCGAACCCCATCCTAAGATATGAATTGGTGGTAATATTATAATTAAATTATAAAAACATCTTATGGGCCGAGACCGAGTTACTCGGCCGATTCCGAGTTACCTCGGCAGTTTTAGACCGCTGATTGATTGTAAAGAACTTAAATAAAAGTCGATTCTGTCTGCGGATATGAGAGACAGAGAACACCTTTTGTGCGATGATGATGTCTTCTTCCTGGTCCAAGAAGAAGTCATCGATCTTCTCAATTTCAGCGTTCAACAAACATATGAATTCTGCCTCCTCCAAAGACAAACTCATACGAGGAAGCGTCTTGAGGTGCCTTTTCAGGTCTTTGTATGCTATAAACTTGTCTCTCCACTCCGGCAGCGTCTCCTCTATTAGACGCCTCAGCATTTTCCCGTACTTCATCCTCTCTCTCTCTACACTTTTTGCCTCTCTTTCTCTCTCTACACTTTTTGCCTCTCTCTTTGCAATGAACTGGGCTAAGAAGTTACGCTAAATAATGTACTACATCCCCGAGCCTCTCTCTCTCTCTTGCTTGCTTACATATGGGATGGAGACGTGAGCAGAATTGAAAAGCATATACCATGCTGGTATCGAATTTATATGGCCCATCCCAGACCGGGTCGAGCCTGGTCTAATGAAAGTAAATCTTTTGAGAAAAAGAAAGCAAACAATAGGCCCAGCCCTGGCCTGTGCCCTTGAACCACATCTTGTGACCTAGGCCTACTTTATCATCTCCGTGCCCACCTGTTCATGGCCGGGCCACTCAACCCATTGCCTGTCCTAAACGTGAAATGATTAATTGTGGATCATGATAACAACATCATCATGAGGATATCACCATCGAATCAATGACCCGATTGAATTGAGTGAGGGGGGAGTGGTTGCCCGATTCCTATTTTTGAAAGACTTGTTCAAGTGACAGTTGATATGAGAGAGGCAGACTCACCATCTAGTTCATCTCATGTTTCGATGCCCACTCTTCATCACCGTCCAATTCATATTTGAACAATGATGACACTTATGAATAATGCTTCGCTACTCGTATGAAATTCCGAATTCTAGCTTATTAGAAAGCTATTTGGATTTGAAGGGGTCTTCGGTGTTTTGGTCATTAAGATAAAAGAACCCACTACGCAACATTTATAGGCGAAAATGAATAGTATTTTCGCCATAGGCTCATTGTCGTCCGATTTTTTCAGACGGCATGGGTAAATTGACTGGAACATGCCCAATGCAATCGATTTTTAATGCGAAAAACACCAGAAACTACAATCGCTCTACATGAACCGTTATGAGGTAAAACTACAACAGGCAAAATACTATTCATTTTCTTCTACATTTTTAAGACTTTTCCTAAGACAAAAGATAGGTAGAAAGGGCGCCACTTGAAAAAAGGCAAAAAAAAAGGACTTTGTTTTAGGTTTATTATTTAAGGTTTGACCAGCGACGAATCGCATCGTATATTCCAAGACCTTGGATGTTGGATGATTCCTAGAATAAAAACGGACGAGCCTTCCTCGGATATGCCGTTTCAAGAAGGACCTACGGGGATTAAAAAAACAGCTAACTTTGGTTGTAACGCTCCAAAACTGAAAAAGCATATAAAGGAAGGTCATAATTATTGTTATCCGTCACATTTTAAATTGGATTGTTGTGAGTATATCGTTGACTAGATTATAAATTTTTAAAAAATTTGTTGATTATTGTAAGACACCCCACCCCAAGCCATCCAATTTGACATCTAATAACAATTATCAACTCTTTGTAACAAAGATAAATGGTCTTATAGTATACAATCATTTTAAACATCCGATTTGGGTTTTGAGTTGTCCATTTGCTCTATCAGTTCTATGGAACAATGAAAAATCGATAAAAAAAATTTATAAAAAACAAAAAGATCCAAACTAGATAATTGGTGAAAAATTAGAAAAGTAGACTAGAAAATAGTTTACGGTGATTCCAAGAGAAGGGGCCAGACCTAAATCATCTAAGAACCAATTATTCTTTTTCAAGATCAATAATTTTTCATCCAGATCGCCGAATTTTAAAACCCTGACTCTAAGAACCAATGTCTCTCTTCATTCTATGCTAAGTCCGCTCAATCCAAATAAGGGACTGCAACTTTACTAACACGGCAATCATGTCAAAATTAGCAAATTTGAAGCATGTACAGAGGTCTAATTCTCAGAATTAAAACCATTGCCTTGTAATATAACTCTGTATATTTTTTACTCATGAGTAACTTCTATTTGTCTGAAAGAAAGCAATGTATAGTGTTTTTTCTTCTTTGGATTTGGGTGTCTCCTATCCCATATTTTTCTTTAAGACTCACCTTTAGGGAAAGAGAGAGGAACAAGCTTGGAAAGAGGTATTCAAGGGGTTGAGGGCTACAATGTGACGTCAAGAGTTCTATTTTTACTATTTCTTAAATTAGCATTTCGAGATAGAATTTGGTTCCAAAGAAGCACCTTTTCCTCGCCTCTTTTTAGGTTTAAGGGCTGTTTTTTTCTTTCAATGTTCACCTCAAAAACCAACCCAATTACTTTGAATACCGAAATAATAAAAAAACTATTTTCAAGGGATTGCATGCTATAAGACAATTCACTTTTGATACAAGGGATTGCATGCTATAAGACAATTCACTATTGATACATTGAGGTCACAATTATTTTTTGTGAAATCTGATAGATTGTTATGTGTAACAAATTTTGAGACTTTGTGCCTAATCAATAAGGTATCCTCAACCACGCAAATTCACATCTAACGGTCAATAATGATTGTGAATTTCTTATATAAAAAATAAATGACCTTATTGTAGGTATTTTTTATTTTCAAACATAGGCATCGAAAAACAATGCAACAACTTCATGCATAAGCGGAACAGCAAGTAAAGAGTAATTATACTTCATTTAAAAGGCATTTGCACACTAATCTACCAAGGCATCACAAGAATCAAAGAACCAACCTCTGTTCAATGCTATAAGCACAAAAGATAAGAAGCATAGGCAATTTCAATAGTCATGAATACACCTCTGCACAGAGTTCTACTGGTTGAAGCCATGTCCAATTCAATTTTTCCCTTTTTCCCTTAGAAATTTTAACTAGACACTTTGATTTCAACACAATCTTCACTCTTATTCATTTATTTCAATTTCTAGGAAAATTTATCAAACAAATCTCAAAAGACACACTATTTAACATTCCCCTTGTTGGTTTTTTGTTAATATAAGAGATCCTCATTGGACATAGGGTAGAAATTGTTGGAGAGGCAATTTCCCATTTGTCCGTTCTAATTTGTCCGTTCTAACACATCGCAACCTGTTTTAGAAAAGTTCTATGAGAGATATCGGTATTTTCGGATACAAATATCTCATTCTACACACCCTATGAGAAATTGATATTTCCAAACAACAATATTTCAGTTAGTTATTGAATTTTTTAGCACTAATATCTCACTTAATTATCGTGTAAGATATTGGTAGTTTGGCATACCAATGCCTCACAGTTATTATGTTTTCCCAAGATGCTTTATTTTGAAGCACTTATACTCATTATGAATACCTAGTGAGATATTGGTAGCTTTAAATACAAACATGTTTCAAAACAAGCCCTCCCTCGAGATATTGGTGTTTGTAAACACCAATATCTCAATCAGTTGTGAGATATGTGTACTTTTGAGTGCCAATTTAGAAACAATAACCTATGTAAGATATTAGCAGATCATGATGTGTTTAGAGTGAGAAATCAGTATTTAAACTACCAATACCTCACATAAGTAGTATTTATAAGAATTACTATAATTTTGGAAGGAGGCCAAAATTGGGAATTATTGTATTTGAAAATTTTGCTATATCTTTTGAAACATGAGCATTGCTTTTTCTTGTTTTTGTTCTTCTTTAAATCGGGGTGCATTCTATCCCAAATTATGATAATTTGAAGCTGGAAAACTGGAATTTCTCGAATTTTAGAAGTTGGATATTTTGATACTTGGTGCTGAAAATTTAATGTATTTGACAACCTGTTTAGAAGTTTAGGGATTCTGGAAGCTTGCATTGCACTTGGGATTTTGGATGCCTAAAGTTCTGGAAATTAACTAGCGTTAACAATTCATTTTTAAGTTTTCATTGATGACTGTGTGATACCTATTTAATCAAGTGGTCCTTAAAATACAAGATATATACAATAGGTATAAGAAAAGGGTGTGGTTTGTACAGAGCCGAGGTTCTAAACAATGAAAGTAAAAAAAAAACAATTTTTACAAAGAATCCAAACCGGTGACACTGGGTTTTTCCTCTAATGCAATATCCTATAAAAGCTCTAAAATAGATATTGGTATATGACATTGCCTCATGTCTACCTCACGGGATTTCACATATAATATATAATATAGCTTTTGTACCATTATTGAAAAATAAATTTTCGAGATAAAAGGGCCTGATAAACCACATTTCCAATAGAGCGGACCTTCAAATACTGTCAAGAAATGTAGTTTCAATATTGGAAATCTTTATCATAGCCTTCAAATATGCTTTTACCTCTAATTATACAATTTCAAGTTTAAAAAACAGTGTAGATCGAGCAGATCTATGAAATCTTGAAAATCTTAAAAATTGACGGTAAAAAAAATACATTACAAGATACACTATTTCAAAAACTTGAAATCCATGTTTTTCTCATGTCCATGCATCGTGATGTTGAGATAATCAATTTGAGGATATTTGGCCATCAAAACAACCTCTTCTAGTGAAATTTAACAACCTCTTCTAATGAAATTTTTGAGATGCATTCTAATTTGATTGTTTAAAGCCTCACGCTTATATAAATTTTTTCATAACAAAAAAGGATGTTATACTATAATACCACTCACTTTTGGTAGAAATAGGTCATAGTCATGCTTACCATTTGAATGTGAAATCTGACGGTTTGAAATGCCTCGTAACATTCGAGAAATTTCTCTAAAGCATTCAGCTTAAGTGAACTATAGTGTCATACTTATCCCCGACAAATATTTTGCATACAATTGTAACCAAAAAAAAAAGAAAAAGAAAATTCAACCCTTACTTTAAAATCTCGTAATTCAACTAAATGCATCTCCCATTACCCTCATGTGACTCAGATCATCCTAGTGGCATGGCAAAACTTTAATATACTTGGACATGTATACTCCCTCGAGAGCATAGTTTGCTTCTACTCTCTCGATCAAAAGACTTAGTTGGGAGATTTTTATTCAATCTAAAATTTTGGGAACCACTTAAAAATCATTAGATGATTATTCTAAAAAAAAAAGAGTTTTCTAACATTTAGATCTCCATCTAAAAAGGGGATGGTCTCTATTCAATCTCGAAACATTAGTTTTTCAAATAAATAAATGGCGCAATTAGAAAATATTTTTATTATTGAGG